AGTTCTTCTGTGTATTCTTGCCACCTCTTCTTAATATCTTCTGCTTCTGTTAGGTCCATACCATTTCTGTCCTTTATTGAACCCATCTTTGCATGAAATGTTCCCTTGGTATCTCTAATTTTCTTGAAGAGATCTCTAGTCTTTCCCACTCTATTGTTTTCCTCTATTTCTTTGCATTGATCACTGAGGAAGGCTTTCTTATCTCTCCTTGCTATTCTTTGGAACTCCGCATTCAAATGGGTGTATCTTTCCTTTTCTCCTTTGCCTTTTGCTTTCCTTCTTTGCACAGCTACTTGTAAGGCCTCCTCAGACAACCGTTTTGCCTTTTTGCATTTCTTTTTCTTGGGGATGGTCTTGATCCTTGCCTCCTGTACAATGTCACTGAGGAAGGCTTTCTTATCTCTCCTTGCTATTCTTTGGAACTCTGCATTCAAATGGGTATATCTTTCCTTTTCTCCTTTGCCTTTTGCTTTCCTTCTTTGCACAGCTACTTGTAAGGCCTCCTCAGACAACGGTTTCGCCTTTTTGCATTTCTTTTTCTTGGGGATGGTCTTGATCCTTGCCTCCTGTACAATGTCACGAACCTCCACCCATAGTTCTTCAAGCACTCTTATCTATCAGATCTAACCCCTTAAATCTATTTGTCACTTCCACCGTATAACTGTAAGGGATTTGATTTTGGTAATACCTGAATGGTCTAGTGGTTTTCCCTACTTTCTTCAATTTAAGTCTGAATTTGGCAATAAGGAGTTCATGATCAGAGCCACAGTCAGCCCCCAGTCTTGTTTTTGATGACTGTATAGAGCTTTTCCATCTTTGGCTACAAAGAATATAATCAATCTGATTTTGGTATATGACTTCATCTTAACTAATTACCTCTGCAAAGATCCTATCTATAAATAAGGTCCCATTCACAGCTACTCAGGGTCAAGACTTAGAGGACGATTCAGCCCATGCCAGTCTTATCATCAGCGGGTGTTTCCCCAGGTTAAGTATTGTGTGTCCCCGAGAGGCACCCATCAGCAGATGTTTCCCCAGGGTAAAGTATCATGTGTTCCATCATCTGATGCAACCATTAGCCATGGCTCAGCATGGTATCCTGCACCCATAGCTCCCACCCCCCACATGGAGGGGGTCAGAGCCAGCTCTCAGGAAAAGAATTTGCATCACATCCCCTCGGGTCCCTCATGGATCTTGTGAAAGCTGCCACCATTTTTAGATTTTTAAACTTTTCTATTTTTAAAACTTGTGTTTATTTACTCACTTATTTTTGGCTGTGGTGGGTCTGCATTGCTATATGTGGGCTGTCTAGTTGTGGTGCCCAGGCTTACCATTGCAGTGGCTTCTCTTGTTGTGGTGCCCAGGCTGTAGAGCCTGGGCCTCAGCAGTTGTGGTAGTTGTTTTTCACAATGACTACACCATTTTCCATTCCCACTAGCAATGCGTGAGAGTCTCCCATCCTTGGCAACACTCGTTATTGTCTTTTTTAATTCATTTTTTAATTGAAGTATGTGTATGCATGCTAAGTCACTTCAGTCCTGTCCGACTTTTTTGCAACCCTATGGATCATAACTCACCAGACTCCTCTGCCCATGGGATTTTCCAGGCAAGAATACTGAAATGGGTTACCATGCCCTCCTCCAGGGGATTTTCCCGACCCAGGTATCAAACCCATGTCTCTTATATCTCTTGCAGGAAGGAAGGACCCTCACCCAGAGCCTTCGGAGGGGATGGGTCCTGCCACACCTGAATCTTGGACTTCTCACCTCCCTGGAAGAAAATAAATTTGTGATGTTTTAAGCCTCCCAATTGTGTAGTCATTTGTCACAGCACCCTGGGACACTAGTACAGAGTGTTTCACAATAGAACTTGTGTGCTTCCAAGACTTGGTATCTTCTGGTAACTTCATCCAGAAAATGGATCACTGGGACTTCCCTGGTGGTCCAGTGGTTAGGATTCTCCGTTTCCACTGCAGGGGGCAGGGTTTTGATCCCTGGTCAGGGAACTAGGATCCCACATGCTGCATGCCACACAGCACAGCCAAGAAAACAAATAAAACCCACAGAAAATGGAGCCGTTAAGACCCCTGGCTTGTCCTGGTGAAACCGATTGGTGTCATTTCACGGGGGCTGTGAAGAACTCCAGTACCACTGAAAGATAATGTTTCAGTGCAGAGAAGAATTCAGCAAGAGCAAAGTGATACATAAATGATTTATTAGAATAGGTTGCTTGTGAGGCTTACAAGCAGGCACATGAGAAATGCTATGAGAACTTGGCTACAGTTTTAAAATGGGGAGGAGAAGAAGACTTTCTTTGTCTTTCTTGAGTAGATATCATGCTTCCATCATCAGCATCTCCTCCTCCAGGTTGAGCAAGGGAATTTTCTTGTCCCTGTGTGGTCAAGCTAGGTCCACAAATGATTGTTTTTCATGTGTGCAAAGAGCATGTCGTAGGGATCATTAACTTACTGAACTCACTGGACAGAATGTGGGGCTCATGCCACCATTTTTTTATTGTTTGGGGGCATGTCTTTTGCTTCTGGTTACATGGTTTTGTTGTTAAGAAGGCCTACTTGGTTTTGTAGCTAAGCAAACCTGCTTTATTGAGTAATCATTAACGCACAGGGGTCTCCCATGTTTTTGTATTTCCAGTCCCCTAGTGGGATTAATATTTGATCACCTCCTTTGTCCCTTCATTCTCTCCACATCTCTGGCTTCCATGACTCTCCTCTGTGTGTATGTGTGACCTCAAGTGGTGGAGGGGACTCTGGGGTCCAGGACAGGCCAGATCCAGTCTTCACTCTGCATTTTTCCTCTTCCAGCCCTACCTGCCCAGGAACCTGCTTTTGCCCAGGAGATAGGACAGGATGGCTGCTGAGTACCTGCTCCCCTGGCCCCAGGTGAGTGGGACTTCCTCTCCCCCAAAAGGCACCCAGTGTGTCCAGAGGGAACACACCTGTCAGACATCAAGCGCCCTTGCCTTGTGGGAAAGGAGGAGAATTTGTCATGAGTGTATGGGTGTAGGCATTCAGGTGGCTCTTACATATAAGGAGGAGGTCCCTTATCCCTTCAGGAGGACTGGGCCTCCTTCCTGGGCTCTGAGCATCTCTGAAGACCCCAAGGTTTCTCCCATAGAGCAGGGAGGGGTGCCCCAAGGCGCCGTCCTCTTTAAAATGCACACATATGTATTTTTTTAAATTGTGGTGAAATAGGGCAGGGAAGCCTGGCATGCTGCAGTCCATGGAGTGGCAAAGAGTTGGACATGACTGAGCCACTAACACCTTCACTTAACTTTCTCTGGACATTGGTTGGGGGGGGGCCATTTTTGAGCTGACCCATCATGATATTTTAGGAGGTGGTGACCTTCAAGGATGTGGCTGTGGACTTCTCCATGGAGGAGTGGGAGCTGCTGGACCCTGGTCAGAGGAAGCTCTACAGAGATGTGATGCTAGAGACCTGTGGGAACCTGGCCTCTGTAGGTAAGACCAGCTGGTCCTTCTGTGTCCGTCAAGTCATGTTTGTTCAGCATCTACTGCACATCAAGAACTATGTTAGGAAGTAGATTTACTGGCAAATGAGACATGCATGGTTCCTGCCCTTGTGGTGTCTCCTGTACAGCAAATGGTCTGATTCCTTCAATATATGGCAGCCTGCGCCACTGTAGAAATGCATCTTAGCTGAGGTGTCAATAATGTCTCTTGTTCCACTAGTGCCACCTGGAAAGCCCTTAAAAAACTTATGGACATTTTAATAGGTATAAAGTGGTATCTATTGTGGTTTTGATTTGTGTTTTCCTAATGACTAGTGATATTGAGTATCTCTTCATGTGTTTACTGGGCCATTTGTATCTCTGAGGAAGTGTATGATCATTTTTTAAATTAGGAAAATAAAATCTTTAGCTTGGTCTCTGTGTTACCTCTCCTGTGTCTCTTTTAGAAGCCTTGAGGAACCAGAGACCCAATTCAGGCTTTGAGGATGGCACCATATGCCTAGCATCAGCCTCTCAAGTCACCACTCTTTCTCTGTGGACTGCATATTCACTCTTTCAACCAGTGGTATCTTTCTACCTGGAGCAAGGAGAAGCCATGTGGATGGCAGGGAAAGGAACTCTGCGAGCTTCATGTTCAGGTGAGAAGCAGGCAGTTATGGGCCACTGGGATAGGGACAGCGTCTGGGGAATCCTGGTCAGAGGTCCCTCCACAGAGGCCCTAATTGTCTAAGGAGAAGGCTGAGGTCCTTGGCTGTTCCTTCCCACGTGCCTTTAGTTTATCCCCCAGCAACCTTCTGCTATGAACCAGCTTCCACTAACCCTCTTTAGGTGCAGAGGAAAACATCCCTTTTCCTTCTGGAAGCCATTCTACCTGTGTTTCCTGTTTCATCTCTTCCCTCTCTGCTTTCTTGATAATTCTTTCCCTCTGCCATTCTTTTTCTCCTCACTCTGATTTTTTTTTTTAATTTTATTGGAGTCTAGTTTATGTGTAATATTTTGTGTTAGCTTCAGGTGTACAGCAAAGTGTTTCAGTTATACATATACATGTATCTATTCTTTTTCAGATTCGTTTCCCATATAGGTTATTACAGAATATTGAGTAGCATTCCCTGTGCTATACAGTAGGTCTTTGTTAGTTATCTATTTTATATATAGTATTGTATATATGTCAATCCCAATCTCCCAATTTATCCCTCCTCCACCCCTTTTCCCCCATAACCATAAGTTTGTTTTTTAAATCTGTGACTCTATTTCTGTTTTGTAAATAATTTCACCTCTACCATTTTTTTAGATTGCACATAAGAGTGATATCATATATCTGTCCTTCTCCGACTTACTTCACTCAGTATGACAATCTTCAGGTTCATCCACATGGCTACAAATGGCATTATTTCATCCTTTTTTATGGCTGAGTGATATTCCAGTTTATTTATATACAACATCTTTATCTATTCATCTGTCAATGAACAATTTAGGTTTTTTGTATGTCTTGGCTATTGTGAATAGTGCTGTTATGAACATTGGGGTGCATGTATCTTTTCAAACTATGGTTTTCTCCAGGTATATGCCCAGGAATGGGATTGCTGGGTCTTATGGTAGCTCTATTTTCAGTTGTTTAAGGAACCTCCTTACTGTTCTCCATAGTGAAGTGAAGTGAAGTGAAGTGACTCGGTCATGTCCGACTCTTTGTGACCCATGGACTGTAGCTTACAAGGCTCCTTTGTCCATGGAACTTTCCAGGCAAGAGTACTGGAGTGGGTTGCTATTTCCTTCTCCAGGGGATCTTCCCGACCCAGGGATCGAACCCAGGTCTCCCACATTGAAGGCAGACACTTTACCGTCTGAGCCACCAGGGAAGCCCTGTTCTCCATAGTAGATGCACCAATTTACATTCCTACCAATAGTGTAGGAGGGTTCCCGTTTCTTCACACCCTTTCCAGCATATATTATCTGTAGATTTTTTGATGATGGCCATTCTGACTGATGTGAGCTGGTACCTCATTATAGTTTTGATTTGCATTTCTCTAATAATTAGTGATGTTGAGCATAATTTTTTTGGGGGGGAGGTGCGTGCTGCACAACTTGCAAGATCTTAGTTCCCTGACCAGAGACTGTATCCAGGCCTTTGGCAGTGACAGCATTAAGTCCCAACCATTGAATTGCCAGAGAATTCACAATGTTGAGCATCTTTTCATGTGCTTTTTGCCATATGTCTGTCTTATTCCCTCTGCAGTCTTAGTCCCCTTTCTTTCCACATTTACTTTTTGCTCTACCAGCATATTGATCCATCTTTCCTTCACCTTGCCTTCCTCCATGTTAAAAGCTGATGTTTGAACATGAATCCACAGGTCCTTTGTATATGTTGGAAATGCTTTTTTTGTTGTTGTTGAAAATAATTTTGTCCTACTATTCTTAAGTTAGAACTCCCCCCCCCACCCCCACCCAACCTTCCATTTATTTCAGATTGGGAGACAAAACTGAGAAGCCAACAGTCAGTTTACAAGAAGGTGGTTTTGGAGGAAGAACCACTTGGGAGTATGAATATTATAAAGATCCCCAGAGAGTACTGGGGTTATGCTGAATCTGAGGGGAACTGTGAAGACTCCCAGAGGCTTTTGAGGGAAATGGGGTACCCCTGGAGAGAAGCATTTTCTCAAGAGAAGGCTATTGACTGGTATGAATTTGGGGAAAACTATAACTTGAATTCAGACCTTGTTTTATCACGAGATTCTATAGGAAGACATTTTTATGACTATGACTTAGCTATTGCGAGTTTGGTATCTGATCCATTCTTAAACCATCATCAGATGGGATATCCAGACAAGAGACCTTGTGAAAGTATTAAATGTGGAAAAGATCTCAGCCAAAATATTCACCTTATTCCACATGAAAGAACTCAAATGGAGGAGAGAATTTCTGCATATGCAGAAAGTGGGAAATCATTATTTAATCATGGTATGGCAATTACCATACAAAACAGAATCAATATAGTGGAGAAACCCTATGTATGTCACCAGTGTGGGAAAGTATTTAACCGGAGGCATTCCCTGAGTGAGCATCAGAGAATCCACACAGGAGAGAGACCATTTGAGTGTCAGGAATGTGGGAGAGCCTTTACACACAGCTCAACCCTCACTCGGCATTTGAGAACTCATACTGGAGAGAAGCCTTATGCATGCCATGAATGTGGGAAAGCCTTCAACAGGATTTCATCTCTTACCCAGCATCAGAGGATCCACACAGGGGAAAAGCCCTATCAATGTGAAGACTGTGGGAAATCCTTCTGCCAGAGTTCTTACCTGATCTTGCACAAGAG